CTTGGTGAGTGGAAGTAAGGATGGCAAGTGCAGCTAGAGTGCAGTGAGCAAAAGTAAGGTTTGTTGGAGAGACGGCTGAAGAGACAGGCAGGGGCCAGATCATGCAGAAGTCTTGTGGGCTATGGTGAGAGTCTGGAATATATCTCTAAGTAAAAATAGAAAGCCAGGAAAGGATTTTTTAAAAAAACTTGTTTTCATGTAATATTTATTAACTTTGTTTTATAATTATACTGCCTGAGGGTTTTAACTTCAAGTACAACATGGTGACCACAATAGTTTTTTTTTTAATTTTAGTTATTTTTTTGTTTTAACATCTTGATATACATTGTAATTGATTTTCATGACCTTTTACCCGTTCCTCCTCCCCCCTGTCTCTCTCCCCTCCCCGCCACATCACACCTGTTCAGTTGTCTTAAAAAGTTCAAGGAATTGTTGTGATTGTTGTGTCTTCTCCCCCCCCAACCGTTTATTTGTTTGTGTTTATTTACTTATTTTTAGCTCCCACAAATAAGTGAGAACATGTGGTATTTCTCTTTCTGTGCCTGGCTTGTTTCACTCAATAAAATTTTCTCTAAGTTCATCCATGTTGTTGCGAATGGTAGTATTTCATTCTTTTTGATAGCAGAGTAGAATTCCATTGTGTAAATATACCACAATTTCCTTATCCATTCATCTGATGATGGACATTTGGGGTGGTTCCAACTCTTGGCTATTGTAAAGAGTGCTGCAATAAATACTGGAGTACAGTTATCCCTTTGGCATGATGATTTCCATTTATCTGGGTATATTTCCAGCAGAGGAATAGCTGGGTCATATATGGTAGATCTATCTGTAATTGTTTGAGGAACCTCCATACCATTTTTCATAAAGGCNAATGTATTTTGCCAACCCTCTACTGATCAAATTGAAGTTGTTGCATTCAGAGGTTTGGCATTCACTCATTCATTCACTCATTCACTCACTTACTCACTCACCCAGTACCCACTCAACGTATTTATTTGAATGTCTATTGTGCTGCCTGTTAAGTGTCGGGTTGTGTGAGGTACTGGGTTTACAAAAGTCAACCAAACAAACATGGCCCCCAGTCCTTACTGAGTTTATATCCCAGTTGTGGAAGAAGACATTAAACCAATTCTTACACAAATAACTAAATAATAATTTGGATTTCAAAGTAATTTGGATTTGATTGTGCTATGAAGTAAGGGCACTCTGAAATAACTGGGATAAATCTAACTTAATAAAAGTAATACAAACATTCGGTAAATTTACTATGTGCCAGGCAGCATCCTAAGTGCTTCAGGTAATCCACACAGGAACCCTATGTGGTAGGTACTGTTATTGACCTCATTTTACAGATAAGGCAACTGAGGAGCTGTGTGCCCAACTCACACAGCTGGTAGGTAGCACATAGGCTCCAGAGTCTCTGCTTGCACACAGGACTCTGCACCGCTGCAGTCAGGGAATGGTGGAAGGGAGGAAGTGAAGCCTCAGCAGAGAGCTAAGGGATGTCACCAGAACAAGTGGTGGGAAATGCACACCAATCAGAAGGAACAGCATGTCCATGAGGCAGGACAGCTTGGTGAGTGGAAGTAAGGATGGCAAGTGCAGCTAGAGTGCAGTGAGCAAAAGTAAGGTT